GTATTTCTTTTGGCTGAAAAAAGAGAGGGTTTTATCATAAGCATTGCAGTTCCCATCTTCCATTACACTATGCATGACTTTGTTCATGTCTATTTACTCCATAGACGGTGTGCAAAATAAATATGCAAATATTTAAATGGTTATTGCTCTCTTTTTATAGAAAGTTTTGATTTCTACAAACATCGACTGGATGGTGCCACACGTGGATGTCAATCCAGGAAGTGTTCTTTCGGTGCTTGGACGGACGCAAAAAAGAAACGGCTTTTGATGTTAGAGATAACTCGACGAGAAGCGCTTGGACGGACGCAAAAAGAGAAACGACTTTTGATGTTAGAGATAACTCGACGAGAATTTTGTGGACCGATATAGCGTCATTAGTGCGGCATTTTAATGTCATGAGAGAGGGTTCCGCACTGGAAAAAAACGTTCTTTAGGATAGCGCATCACGTGCATGCTGGTGCCAAATGTTATTTCGGTGGATAGACGGATGGATGGGCAGAACTTTTGTTGTGAGTTATTCCACCCGATTTTTTTCGATTAATGTAGCATTGTTTGTATTTTGTAGATGAAAAGGCCACGGTGTAGGAAATGATGGATACATGTTCTCATTGTTTTAATCAACGAAAATGAAAAGTTGTATACTGTTGCAACTCAATGTGAGAAATACTACGGCCTGAATGATTAGCTGATAATGAGATTAAGATACATGTTGTGAGCGTTGTAAAAGTTACTTTCTCTGCAAACTAATAGAAGATCTTTTAGATACCTACTTTAGTATCTTAGGTATCTAAAAGATCGTTTATTAGTTTACAGAGGGAGAACTATATCATTTGTGTATTATCTTCGTATTTATTTTTATAATTTATTTTAGAGTTTTGCACACTCTAGCCCGTGACACTAACTTTGTTGCGAGGAGGATGTTCATAAAAGATAAATAGTTCAAAGTCATATATAACATAAAGCCATACTTGAATGGGATACATGTTATGAGTATTGATGATAAGATTAAACATTCCTAAAATTGACGCTAAATGTCACACGACTAAAGTAGTACTACATATGTGTGGCACTGCATTTGGTCACATTGATGAAATACGCATGGAGAAATTCCATAGTGATGGATTTTTGAAGTCATTTGATTATGTATCAGCTGACACTTGCAACATCGTCCAAGACTAGGGTGACTAAAATACCATTCAAAGGTCATAAGGAACAACCAACAATGAACTCATTGACAAACATACCTACTACTGATGTGTGTAATCTAATAAGTGTTGTTGCAAGCGGTGGATTTATCTTTAAGGATCAAGCAGATATGTAAATATTTTCTTAATGTGACAGAAGTCTAGATCCTTTGAAATTGTTCAGAAAGGTTTTCAGAATGAACTAGAAATTATTGCATCAAGAAAAAAAATGTGTTTTTGCAATTAGATCGCGAAAAGGAATATATTTGAGTTACAAGTTTAGCGAATGTCTCATAAGTTGTAAAAGAGTTTCATAACTCGAAAGTACCTTTCTGCTCCCGAGCTCAAATGAGCTTGGTGAGCAGTAAAATCGAAAACAAATCAAAAAATCAAAAAAAAATCCATTTTTTTGGGAGAAGCATTGACAAAAGTTCTAAGTTCTTGCAAAAATACTTCATCGAATCACATTCCTCTAAGGTGTGGCAAAAAAACAAATTCAGTGCTCCAAAATGCTTTTCAAAGTAGCATTTTCAGTGTACCATTTTTTTGCCATGCCTTCTAGGAATGTGATTTCATGACGAATTTTTGCAAGCACCAAAAACTTTTATCAATGTTTCTCCCCAAAAAAATTGGATTTTTTTGAATTTTGTTTCAATTTTACTGAGCTCGGGTGCAGAAACTCTGCGTCCTTCATAACTTATACTTCCGCGAACACCACTTAGAATGGAATGTCTGAGAAGTTGCATCAATCTTTTTCTGATGCAGTTGCTTGGGAAAAAACCACTTTTGGTCTTTGTTTTTTTGTGTGTGTGTAATATGCTATTTTGCAGTTTCTAAGCAACAATGGATGATTTGAACATTTGTATCAAACTCATCACAATAAAAGAATCGGAACCGCCCATTAAATAAATCTTTACAACTTTAGGGTCGAGACCAAATGGTGAGAATTACAAAATTAATCATAGTTTACTCTAACTGTTGGAGACTAAAAAATCTAGGTGATGGTAGAAATTTGAGGGACACTGAAATTGAAAACCTTCACTTATAATGAAATGAAAATAAATCTATTTGGTCAGGTGCTAACTGCCAAAGCGAAAGTATGGTTATATACTGATCCTGCATGTACCGTTGATATGAGGGAATAATTATTTGGCACGTTCTTGGTTTATTTTTATACGGAGAGAGTGTCTTATGAGGCCAGACACATAATGAACAACTTTATTCGAAAACCTAGTGAAAGTCTTGTTAAGGCTTATCAAAGGTACCATGCTTTACTTGATAATTATCCTCATCATTATTACCCCCCTGGGTGGACATATAGTTTATGAAGGACTAGATGACTAGTGTAAGATAACTATATACCTTACATTTGGAGGATCCTTTTTTGACTGTAGTATTGCTCAAGCTTGGAGCTTTTTGAATAAAATTCGTGCTCATTGAGAGAGTTGGTAACTAGAAATGGGGGAGATGGTATGATTGCATTAAGTCCTACTCTTTGTCTGAAAAGGTTGGAGAGCCAAGTGAAAATTTCCATCTTGACTCCAATGTTGTTTTGCAGATTATAAAAGATTATTACACTGAGCATTTTCAGGACTCTTTGCAAAAGGTCAAGGCTGTTGGATCCTAGAAATAAATGGTCCAAAATTATATGATCTAATGTAAAAGGACTCTTTGCTTTACATGATTTAATATGTAGTATTAAGTTGATCCAGTGGTTTATATTATTTGGTTTAGATTCGACCATGACAATGTTTTGATTTGGTTTGGCCTAGTTAAGACTTCTCCTATATATAGAAGTCACTAGCGACCAAATTCAATGTCCATGATCAATCCGGGGGAAAAGATAAATAATCAATCACCGCCACACATGATGAGCCTTGCTACACACCCTAACGTCCTTGCTACTGACTCTAATTTCCGATGGCGTTGTCGCACGTGATGAGATCCGGAGCACACCCTCGCCCTTGTATGCACCGTTGTCATTGATGTCGCTTGAACTATGTCGGTATTTCCACAAAGAGGAAGGGATGATGCAGCACAACTACGGTAGGTATTTCCCTTAGTAATGAAACCAAGGTATTAATATAGTAGGAGAACCAAGTAACACTATGAAAACGGTAACAACACACAAGGAACAAATACTTGCAACCCGACACTTATGAGGGGTTGTCAATCCCTCTTACAGGTAACGGCATAGGAAATTGTCAAGTTGACGGGATAAAAAAATGTGTAGTTTGGATAAAATAGATCCCGAATAAATGCGACATAAAAGATGCAAATAAAATATGCAGTAGAGTATTTTTGGGTTTTTGGAATAATAGATCTGAAAATAAATGCAAACAAAAATAGATCTCAAAGGAAAATAATAGATCGGAAAGTAAATATGATAAAGAATAGACCCGTGGGCCGTAGATTTCACTAGTGGCTTCTGTCAAGAAATAGCACATGATGGGTAAACGAATTATTGTTGGGTAATTGATAGAACCTCAAATAATTGTGATGATATCCAGGCAATGATTAATATATAGGCATCACGTCCAAGTTCAGTAGACCGACTCCTGCCGGCATCTACTACTATTACTCCACACATCGACCGCTATCCAGCATGCATCTAGTGTATTAAGTTCATGGAAAAATGGAGTAATGCAATAAGAACGATGACATGATGTAGACAACATCTACTCATGTAGGAATATACCCCATCTTGTTATCCTTAATAGCCACGATCAATATGTGTCTTGCTGCCCCTTCTGTCACTTGGAAAGAACACCGCACGACCGAACCCATCACAAAGCACCTCTTCCCATGGAAAGAAAAATCAATCTAGTTGGCCTAACTAAACCAAAGATTCGAAGAAGAAATATGAGACTATAAATAATCATGCATGTAAGAGATCAAAAGAATACTCAAATAACTTTCATGGATATATAGATCTGATCATAAACTCAAAGTTCATTGGATCCCAACAAGCACACCGCAAAAAGAGTTACATCAAATAGATATCCAAGAGACCATTGAAATGAGAATCAAGAGAGAGAGAGACAGAGAGATAGAGAGAGAGTGAGAGAGGGAGAGAGAAAGAGGAAGCCATCTAGCTACTGCCTACAGACCTGTAGGTCTATGATGAACAACTCACGCATCATCGGAGAGGCTTCAATGTTGATGGTGAACCCCTCCGTGATGGTGTCTAGATTGGATCTCATGATTTTGGAACTTGTGGCGGCTGGAAATGTGTTTTGTTGACTCCCCTAGGTTTTCTGAAATATTTGGGTATTTATAGTGCGAAGAGGCAGTGCGGGAGGCCACCGAGGTGGGCACAACCCACCAGGGCGCGCCTGGTCCCCCAGGCGCGCCCAGGTGGGTTGTGCCCCCCTCGGGGAACCCCTCCGGTACTTCTTTGGCCCATGTTG